TAGGTTTTTAACGCTTAAAACTTTTTCATTTACTGGATAAATTAAAATCTAAACACATCAATCGATAAGAAATAACTCTAAAAGTCTTCTGAAATAAATGCTTTTCCAATTTTCCATTTAAAAACTTCTGATAACACTAAAAATAAAAAGTGATAATTTTATCACTGGTTATCATAAGATAAACGTTTTCCCTAACCCAGTTATCATAAACGCATACCATTTGGTTGCGCATCATTCTGCTTGAACCTGTAAAGCTATAAAAGAGCGCTGCTGTCGCGCCACCGCTCATATTCTTATTGGATGGCGTGTGAGTGGATCACTTAAGATGCCAGCGGCAAGCAGTAGCAATATCGTCGCTAGCGGTACAAAGGTGACATTTTGTCCCTCACTCTGCCGTCGTGCAGAAAAACTTCCTCGCAGCGGACGGGGTAATGATAACAACCAACGGTGAGGTGGGATGAGACTTGCCTTTTCAACGAGCAGTGTTTGCATTAAGCTCAATCTGCACCTACCCGATATAATCCGACTGGCGATTTTCTATATATAAACAGCAAAAAATAAATTTTAATATTACATCCAAGACGATGCACTTCAATCATGTCGAAAATCTCATGTAATTTTTATGACCACAGTTCATACACTGTATTAATGATAATTTTGTCCTTTTTGGCAAGTAATACTACACCATATTTTTGACACGATAGCAGTGCATCCAATTTGATGTGATATCAAAATTAATTTTTTGCTGTGTATCTCACTCTCTTATTTCTGGAGAGTCGATCGAATGATATTGAGCAGATGTGCGATGAACTTTAAGTTAGGAACGATGTCGTGGTACCGAAGCTCATTTTTGCATTGGACAATGTAGTGAACAGATCGCCTGAGCAGCAGCAATATTTCCAATGGTAAGAGGTGGAGCCTTTTGACTCGGATCGACAAATTATTGTAGAAAGAGTTAAATTCTTGTGATAAATTAGCAGTATCAACCGATATTCAGTGAGACTACATTTTTATTTACCACTTGGATCCCGTTCAAATATTACGTTACGTGGAAAATGCCATTTTTATAAAACGGGGTGGGGTCTGTGAAAATTGCATTTTTTTTTTAATTTTATCAATGTTACGAAACAACCGTATAACAACTTGTAACAAATTTTTAACTATCTCTCCCCCCATCTACTATTTCCAATTACATGGTGTCCAGCAAATTCCGAAGAGGAATTTCGCGGTTTGTTCTCGATTTTTTCCCGGATTTATTTTTCAATATTTCAGGTTATTTTCATCCAGGAAAAAATCGTGAGTATCGCATTCCATCACATACCTAATTTAAATGCATATCGCACAACCGGGAAATAACAAAAAACCTGGGAAGTAACCATTTGTTTCTGCGTTTGAAGTCGTCAAAATTTGTTAATATTTTAACTACCTCGAAAAAGTTCACCCAGAACTCTGTACTTTTCTGAAATGTTCTCAAAATTTCCTTTAGAATCATTTCCTTTCAAATTTTTTTTAGAGTTTCTCTAAAATAAATTTGAACATTATTATTCATAACGTTTCAGAACTCTCCTGAAATTTCGAGGAATTCATCCAAAGATTCGCTACGAATGAAATCACTGAAACTTCCTTACAAAATTATATTTAAAATCACCCTGAATCCTGCTTTGAATTTCCATGCAGTTTACCTCAGAATTGTCTTGCAATTCTGCGCATAATTATCCTGGAGCTCTCCTATAAATTCATTTAGCATTCTTTAGAAATTCTTCACGATATGCCCTTGGAATTATTCGCGGAATTCTCATAAAACTCTTCTCAGAATTGTTTTGGAATTCGATCCCCTTGGTATTTATCGTTGAATTTTCTTGTAACTCTCTTTAGAATTAACTTGAAATTATCTTTCAAAATTCCAGAGAAATCATTCTTACGGAATTTCCTTAAAGTGGTCATCTCAACTGTTTTAAAATTCTTCTCATAACTTATTTGGAATATTCACTAGAAATGGACCTGCAATCTTCTTCACTATCGTCGTGCACTTTTCTGCAGACCCTAATAAAAAAAACATAAACCTATGATAACCCAAATGATTGAACTATTCTACAAATAGTTTGGATGATACCGGAACACCTCGTTAAGCAAAATAACCATAACAATTTTATTAGGAGACTATCTCAAGATTCTACTCTGAACTCACACCATTGACTTGGGAGCTCTAGTGAAATCTCCCTAAGAGTTCTGCAAAACAAATCTCTTGATATTTTTCTATGAACGTGTTGTTATCTTCAGATTTCTTTCTAAAATTTCTTCAAAATTCTCTTAATATTTAGTTCATCAAAGTGACTGTATCCTGAAAATCCAGTCCATGGGTTTTGAAATTGGTCCAGAAACTAAATTTATTTTCCCGATTTGTTATCGAAATATCGGTTCACTGGTCACACTGCAATTAGTGTATTATTTCTATTACTGATTTCCCTATCACAGATTACAGATTTCAATACCAAACACTGAAATTATTAGACGGTACCTCTATTAATGCTTTAAGATTAGCATTTTAAGTTCCTCCTTGGAGAATTATGCTATGAAACGGCTTGCTATGCCCGGCTCAATTTAAATTTCCCGGACTTTTTTTTTCTTATGGTAGCAGGGCAAGCCGTTCCTTAGCATAATTCTCCATGCACGAGATAAGGTTAGTCTAAAAGCATAAATAGGGAAAACAGCTCTATTGTTGCGGTACGTTAGCAGCGTTAGAAGCCTATTGCCTACCTCCATACACAACAATAGGCTTCTAACGCTGCTAACGTACCGCAACAATAGGGTTGTTTCCCCTAGATGTACCGTCCGGTTTTCTTCAGGGCAAGTTACTGAAATTTGTAATATGTTATAGGGAAAGCACTTTTTTCCCACCACAGAAACGTCCCTTTTTCTTATGCAAAATGATGAATGTGTGTCCACAAAACGCACATAATACGTAAATAAAAGATGTACAGATAATTTATTGGCTAATAATGTTCTTATCGCGAGATATTCGCGTCCCATTGTGAAATTTCACTAACAATAGGCGCAAAATGTATGTAATGTATCTTAATTTTGTTTTTGCTTTTTTTAGCGTTCTGAGGAATAGTCTCAGATATTCTTGTCGGTTAAGGTACTTTTTTTTAAGGTACAGACTTACCAAGCCGGAGGAGCCTACTTCGATTCTCGGTCCGTTCTATGAATTTTTCAGGTTGGAAAATTTCTCGAGTTCCCTGGGCATATAGTATCATTGTGCTTTCCATACGACACATAATTTCAGGCATTTGTAAAGGTACCGAAAGCTCACAATTAATAACTGTGGCAGTAATTGATGAATCAAAGCAAAGCCAAAACTGGTCATGCGACACCTGGTTTTTGGATCCGCATTTACAAAAACGACGATGTACTAAAAAAAAAAATTCATACGATTTGACAGATATCAAAACGTCATTACCATTTTCACCCACTCGCCATCTGTAAGTCAATCGTCACTTTGATTCTTCAATCATCTCTTCAGTCCTCAATCCAAAATATATGTAGGGAACATGTTTATATTTCGTCATATGGTCTTATTTAAATATTCATAACTGATTGCAATTTAGGAACCAAATGTCTTCTTTCCTTTATTTAACGTCGGTCTCTGTTCCGCAATCTAGTACCAATCACCGACGGACATCGATTGCCATCCATTGACGGCAATCGAATGTGCAGAAAAGCATAACATTTTTATACTAGCCTCATATTGAAGGGACGAACGAATGCATTCGTCTGGGGGTGTTTCCGTAATAAAGAGTACTGAACATTTTCATTCATCTATAACTTTTCTTGCATTGTACTTGAGCGCCCAAGCTCCGCTTTTATCATGCTCCTATGAGTGAGCTATTTATTATGTTTTAATCACCCCATTAAGCTAGCAACTAAAAAAGACCAACCGTCAAAGCTGCCGGCTACTGTCGGTGGCAGTGTGTATCGAAGAAATGAATCCATTCGAGCTTTGCGTGAGAGAGAGAGCGAGAGTGTGAAGATTTTCCTACTTGAAGCCATATTGCGAGAGATTCCCATCGGAAAAGTTCCGAGATCCGTAGGCAGGCTGCTTTGCCATAGCACGTGTTGCTTGCGCATGTGCACTTCACACGGCAGAATAGATGCGGCATCAGACCATGCTAGTCAATACAGAAAATGTTTGCCCCCATCATGACATAGGGTTTGGCCGTGACAGTTACAATCGGTTAATTTTTTGATTTTATCTGAAAGGTTCTATTTTTGGTTGAGAGCCTTTATCAGTGAAAAGCTAGCATAATCCGTCGTGATGAATTTCTGAGCCGCTGGCTAAATGAGTTTTAGACATTGTTCTATTGTTCGTTCGTCCCATTACGAATTTCATTAGTCGGAAAATGTGAAAACAAAAACAAAAACGAACTGTAACTAACAATGCAGGTTTGGTCGTTGTTTGTTTACGTTCTAATCAATCGAAAGGGTTTCTCCGCAGTCAACCTCATCAGTCAGTGTAAATTTGAGTCACATTTTTACTGTTGCCATTTCGATAGCGTACTTGTATCTTATCTGAAAAATCGTGATAAATTGAGACATTGAACATGCAGAGTGTGCAATCGTCTTTGGTTCTTTTATCTACTGCGGAGACGATGATTAAAGGTAAATACAGAAATCGTCAACGCGACTGAAGCCCTAATTTGTCCATTTCGGGATTGATTTTCGTGATATCTTGAAAAGTCTAGAAACACATTTTTTAAATTTATTTTTCTCGCCTGAACCGATTTCGATTTGTCCGGATATGTGACGAACCTCTCAAGGGGGCCGAGCTCTTATTAATGCGCATTTTAAATTGGCTTAAAAAATCACACTTCTCAGATGTATAGAGATATCATATACTCCCCTGGTTGTAACATGCCTTTCAGACCGAGTCTCCACAATTAACACTGCTACCATCCATATACTGGAAATTAAATCACAAAACAACATTAAAGAACACTCACCTGAGATTGTTTAATACTGGTAGTAAATTTAAACCTGGAAAAAGAAGGAGACGAAGAGAAACAGAGATGAGAAATGAACATTAATTTTCGGCCCACTTGCTTCTTTATGCACTAGTTAGCTCGTTCAGGTCGTCCGTGGTTAGCCACTAATTATTATTCGATTTGTGCTGCTTTACAATTTTTACTGCGCAAAGCACTAATCGCGGAATTCAAGTTGCTACACCTCTTCAGTCACGTATGCACAAATCGTCCTCAGAAAAAGATTATTCTTCATCCACTAGTGATATTGGTGGACGATTCGAAAATAATTACACTCACACGAAATTGAGTCACTTAAGAACGGTTTCTCCAAATGATTCTGAATTTTCACTACACCTCCAAACTTGTCGGCGTTTAAATCCGTCATCGCTACGGACACGGTTATCTGTTGCATCACAGTCATTTTGTTTTGTGCATTCACATCGTTTATCGCCAAAACAAAATCGAATTAAACATATGGTCCTTCTGAATTACTCGTTCAAGGGTACGGTTTAGTTCACACGCGAGCGCACCCGACTCTGTCCGAGTTTGTATAGAAACTACCAGCGCAGACCGTGTGGAAGACCCTGCTTTCGTGCCGTACTGGACAGAAGACTACGTCAGATGATGAGTACTTGATTAGTGGTCATAGGGTGATAAGAGAAGCAAGATAAAAAAAAAAGATTTACCTGATATGAGCAAGGATTTTTTTGCCTTGTACGTACATAGTCTGAAGGTGCCAGTTTGGTTTGGGGCGTGAAAGTGATTCTTTGGGATAGGTAGGTAAATTTGTATGCAGGTATATCCAAATATAGGGTTGATTGGCGCAAATTCTTCTGGGTTTATGCTTTAATAAATTAATTCTTAATCTAAAAAAGCAACACTGAAAAACGTTAAGAAGTTTGAGATTTTACAATGTATGTTTCGAAAAATTAAATATTTTATAAGACTTCCGATTTCCGTCCGATAGCAATTTCCTTAATATTTTAATTTCGTTTTAGTGGTTTGCTTGAACTGGTAATAATCCATCATACCCCTGCATGCCCTATCTGAGAAGACACTGCCTGATTGCTTGATCAAACACCATATCTGAGCAATTCAAGCGGAAGTGACTCAAATTAGATGTCATGCTACACATTGATTGCCATTTACTGCAGGGTTCAAATTTGATACTCATAATCCGCTTCGCAAGGGTATTTCGTTTCTAAGGTTTATAGATGCCAACGTAGGGAGGCCGTAATTGCAGCAAGTGGAAACTCGATCGATGATTAACATAGTTTAAGACTCTGAGAAACATCCCCCCTTTGATTATTAAAAAAAAAAACGAAATTTTTGAGATTTTTTTTTTAAATTTTGACAGTGCTTAATGGTGCAAACATTATCACGCATACGGTACAGCAACCAACCCAACATAGAGAACCTTTGCATATACTCTTTAGCAGGTCTGTCCAACGTTTTTATTTCGCGGGCCAAATGTCATAATGCATATCAGGTGGCGGGCCAGACTTTATATCACAGTATTTTTTTCAATATGATTCTACGGATTTAAAGGCTTTGGTTTCATTGAACAACAGTAAAACATGGTTTGTAAGGAAAGTGTCACTTTACTGATAAAGTTTGTAGAAAAAACTACTCTATTAAAGAAAATAACGAAATGACTGTTTTACCGTTGATTTTAAACAAAATAGAAATTGAACATTGACTGTTTTCGTCAACCAAAGTTTAAACGTGGATTTTGCTATATATTCTCACCAAAACGCTTCGCTGAATGTATTTAAACGCTGCCTTAGTCTTTCAGCTAAATCTCATTTCATGTTTATGACTTAGCACCTATAAGGTTTTTATTTAAATTAGAATAGCTGGTTAACACACAGCTCAAATGAAAATGTTGCCGAACAGGCTTTCTACAATAAACTCACTCACTGACTTGTGAAGTTTGGAACGTTATAAAAACGTTTTAAACCCGTTTTGGATAATTCTGTCGATTGCAATGGATAGAGTAGGAAGCAGCAGATGAATGTAAACAAATAAACACGTCATATTTCTAATAGAAGGGCGGACGCTGCTTAGAGTGACGAGAATATGTAAATTCCCCTAGATATATTTTTAAAAGAATAGAAATTAATAAAATTCAGAATTAGATAGATTTGTTTTTGATTTATACTAATTTTTAAATGTCAGACATTTTCTTTTGGGATCTCATATCCCAAGCAACATTGCAAGTTTTATTGCGGTTTTATAGCATACTACAAGTCTAAATCATGGTCTACAGAACCCTCATAAAACCCAAATTGTTACTTGGGATCATTTTGAGCCGATATTACATGAATTTCCCTGAAAAGTTTTCATGTGATAAAATGTAACTATATAGGGTAAATGTACTATTTTCTACCTTTTTGCTCAAAAAATGGCCAAAAATAAACATGTTTCATGTTCAATTTGTCTATTTTCAATGCAACTGGGGGCGACTCCGGCGTAGTGGTTAGCATCCATACCGCCGAAGTCATGACTCATGAGTTCAAATTTCACCCCCAGACAAGTCACGAAAGACCCAAGAGTATTAAAGTGACTATAATAATAATAATAATATGAATAATAAAAAACGCCTGATGTTTTGCCAACAAATACCTCGCTTTACGCTTAACCAAAACTCACTCTAACCCGTAAAACTTTCCCTTTGAGATCTTCGTGAAATATCGCGAACCCCAATGCATTAAACACGATTTTTTGATTCGTTAATTTGTATGGAAGGGTCGAAAGCTAGTGCTAGTTCGAATATAAGAACATTAATTAGAAGTTTCGTACTGCTTCTGACAGAACTCACCACCATAGGACGAGCCGCCTTCGATCGTACACAGCCAATGAGTAGTTTTTCATTTAAAATCGCAATTCATAGAGTTAGTAAAATTTTCCTCGCTTTTCTTCAAAAATCTGAGGAAAATTGACGTGTGTGGTGATGTCCGGTCGTCGGCATCAGCAGCAGCAGTGCTTTCGGCGTTAAACATTTTTTTTTACTAGTTCGTTTATTTACTAGACTCAGTCGTGTGTGACACTTTGCGGAGCCAAATTCAGTAATGTTTGATTTTACATTTTAAATAGCAGTAGTTCTAGGTTAGTATTGGGTACCAATTACTCGTGGCGGGCTCGAGGTTAATGGGTAACAATTTCGATTGGAAGGAGCTAGGTAGGAAACTGGTTTCTGAAGCCTCCTTCAGATACTACTCTCGGACGGTTGACCAAATCCTGGCTGGGCAGGGGCAAGTAGCACAGGAACAGGAGGATAATAAGACTGGGACACAATGGCGGGAAATTGTTTGGAAAGGATGGGATGGTCACATCAAACTCTAACATCAGACAAACAAAGGAATTCGAAGATCGCCTGCATGTAGGGAAGATCACGTGTTCCCAATACATCTCTTACTTCACGGAAGGGTTGTCTACCTCGGGCCACTAGGGTATCCAATAGTCGTGCTCTGGAGGCGTCATTACCCGGGCAATACCAAACTGCGTGATCGATGTCATCATAACCGGTTCTGCACCTACATATATTGCTGTCAACGAGGTTTATTCTATAGAGATGTGCGTCTAGCGAGTAGTGGTTGGACATAAGTCTTGACATCACTCGAATGAATCCCCGACTTACATCCAGACCTTTGAACCACGCTCTCGAAGAAACATTTGGAATAATGGAATGTAACCACCGCCCAAGAGAATTACTTGTCCAATCGTTTTGCCAACTTAAAAGAGAACTCTGACGTACTAATGGGAAAAATTCATCATGTGAAATTCTTCTACCCATGCAAAGGTAATCATATATGATCTTTCGACCAGCAAGCTCATCTGCTCCCTTACCTTTGAAAAGAAATAAGATGAGTGCCTACCTTGTTTCATCGACCGAATAGCCTCAATCGAACTGAGACTATCCGAGAAGATGAAGTAATGGTCTATGGGCATATCGGAAATCATCCCCAATGCTAGCTCAGCAACATAAACGGAACAAGGTTCCTGAAGTTTCCGAAAGGCGGTTGAGTATTCATTGAAGACGCCGAAGCCAGTGGATCCATCAATGCGTGATCCATCAGTGAAAAATCTTCTATTGCAATTGACTTTTTGTTACTTTTCAGCAAAAATGCGGGGAATTGAGATAGGTCGAAGTTGATCTGCAACTCCTTGAATAGCCTGTTTCATGGAGAGATCATAGTCAATGGGGGAACTGTAGTTAGTAAAGCATACACGCGAGGGGTTATAGCAAGGAAGGCTAATATCCGATGACATATAATTAAGATAGATTCGCACGAATCTAGACTGGATGCTCAATTCGAGCATTTCTTCGAAGTTTTCAATCACAAGGTTGTTACTGACACTACATTTGATCAATAATCTTAATGAGAGCTCCCAGAAACGGTTCTGCAGGGGTTTTACGCGCGCTAGGACCTCTAGGCTCATATTGTGTGTTGAATGCAAACAGCCAAGGGAAATACGTAAACAACGATATTGAACGCGTTCCAATTTAATTAGGTGGGTTTTTCTTGCCGAGAGGAAGCAAAAAGAGCCATACTCAAGAACTGAAAGAATAGTCGTTTTATATAGTTTAATGAGGTCTTCCGGGTGAGCACCCCACCATGTCCGGGAAATTGATCGTAGAAAGTTGATCCTTTGTTGACACTTTTGTTTCAAATACGTAATGTGGGTACCCCAAGTGCATTTTGAATCAAACCAGACTCCAAGGTATTTGAAGGTTAAAGATTGGGTAATGTCTCTGCCCAAAATATTTAGACGCAGTTGGGCTGGAAACCGCTTCCTTGTAAACACTACCAATTCAGTTTTTTGCGGTGAAAACTCGATCCCTAAATTTCTTGCCCAGAAAGACAGATTATTTAGGGAATTTTCCAATGGTCTTTGCAAGATTTCCGCACGTGGACCTCTCATGGAAACCACGGCATCATCTGCAAGCTGTCTAAGCGTGCATAGATTATCTAAGCAGTTATCAATATCTTTGACATAGAAATTATAAAG